ATGGTCTCTTTTCAGATATGGCGAGAGCTCTTTTCCCCTCTTCATGCGCTGAACTTCGGGATCGGAGGCGATACAACAAGACACGTTTTGTGGAGACTGAAGAATGGTGAACTGGAGAACATTAAACCTAAGGTAAAATGAAACTTAGTCATGACAAACCATTAGTATTGGCAATTTTCCAAGTATTTAAATGGACTGAGATTGGCAGTGAAAAACATTGCTCTTTTAGGGCACTGTTTCACTGTGGCTCGTTGTTTCTTGTCTTTGAAAGTAAATATTTGATGTTGTAGTTACTTAGGGCTCACAAGAATACATATTTAAGAAATCCGAGCATTGTTTGCCTAGGTTGTGATTATAGTTGTTGTAATTACTTTTCTCAGTTGTTGGGGAGGATTTGATGCTAATGAGGTGTTCTATTCTGGGGAATGCCTGGACTTGGGCAGGTGAGGAGAGCTGCTCAGACTGGGGCTCTGGGCCCTGGGGTTTTATTCACTCACTTCAGGAAGTGAGTCTCTAACTGTATAAGCACATGGTTCATCAAGGCTCCCAAGTCTTTCTGAAGAAAAATTAAAGCAGAGATGTGCATCTGTTCAGATCCACCCAGTTCTTTGTCACATTATAAAAGTCCAGAGCCTGTGCACTACATAGAATTCTTCTTCGACCCCAAACAAAAGAGAGAGCCAAAGCTGAGTTCTAATGAACACAGCGTTAGTTGAAAGCATTGTCGTCTTTGCTTCCCAGTAGAAAAGCTCGCCCATGGGCTTCTCTTTCAGGGTAAAGATATATGTCTCAGTGTCAGCCGCCTTTTACAGTCACTTTTTTTAAAAGAGAAAAACCCTTTAAAACTATATTAAACTTCCTCACAATAATTTTTCTTTTAGTGCAACTGTGTATTTGTCACAACTTGCCCCTTGCCTGTTTCTCATATTATTTTTCTGGAAGGTAATTCTCTGCGAAACTTAAGTCGTTATTTATGATGTGAGTTGCAAATTATTTTCTACTAGGTTGTTTAGATCTCATTTGGCTTTTGTTTTGTTTTTTAGTGTGTAGAAGATTGTACTTCTATACAGTGAATACCTTAATATTTTCTGTACAGCTATTGGATTTTGAGAAATTTGCTCCTAACTCCACGATGATAAGATAATCCTTTCCCGTTCCCTTGTAGTGCAGTTTTGCCGCCTGAAAATTTAGTCTATTTGGCTTGTATCCTGATCAATGGTGGGAGGTATAAGTCATGCTTTTTTAAGGTAGCAATCCAATTGGAGTTCTCCGGTGCCATCTGTCTTCCTGTGATTCTGAAGATTTTCATCTCAATATCACACGTTCCTGGGTATTCATCTCTCCCCTCATCTTCTCACCCACAGGTCATTGTTGTCTGGGTAGGAACAAACAACCATGAAAATTCCGCAGAAGAAGTAGCCGGAGGCATCGAGGCCATCGTGCAGCTTATCAACACAAGGCAGCCACAGGCCAAGATCATTGTGTTGGTATGCAGTCTTTGGTGTGTGGGGACCGTGCTACCTTTAGGTCACCCTCAGACTCTCCTTGGAAATGTGATCACCCAAGAATAGAGGGCATCTTTAGGTGGAAGCAGCTGAAGTTCTTTCTATGCCGCCCCTTCTCTCTTTTTTTTTAACATTTTATTAGGGGCTCATACAACTGTTATCCCATTCCATACACACATCAATTGTGTAAAGCGCATTTGTACATCGTTTCTCAAAACATTTTCTCTCCATTTAAACCCCTGACATTAGGTCCTCATTTTTTCCCTCCCTCCCCGCCGCCCCTTCTCTGCTTCCCTCTGTCTGGCCTCATCAGCATTCTTCAGACAATCTGTGAGGTTCTCTTTTACATACTAGTTCTTTCTTGGAAAGGTACAAACTTAATTTTTATTTGCTTATTTTTAAGAAGGTTGCATTCAGACTTGTCGGAATCCCAAGCCTCTTGTCATTAGGCCTGGTTTTGGATTAATACATTCATATATTGTTCTGGTTACTTTAGATATGTTAAAAATAGCAGAAATTCCCATCAGCAAAAATGGGCACATTAAAGTTTTTACCGTTGGTAGAATGACAAGCATTAAGCTTCTTCCTTTTTGATAAGCATCAAGTTTTTGTCACAGAGGTGAACATCAATCTATTTCAATATAAAGGACGAGCTGTAGGTACTCTTAGCTCATCAAACTTGACACGTTTGAGCGAAATCTGATAGGAAATTCATCTTCAGTGTACTCAGTCCATTCGGTGGTCATTCAGAAGTCATGTACAGTAGGGCCTCAGGGTACAAAGATGAGCAGACCCAGTCCCTCTGAAGAAGCTCACTGTGAAGTGGGTGGAAGATATGTTTTAATTAACTTATAAAGAATGATATTGGGTGCTAAGGAAAGGACATAAAAGTTAGGCACAACAGTTGCTATCCAAGTTGAGTGTCAAAGAGTTGTTGGTCTGTAGACAAATGGAGAATTGCAGGGACCAGAAACTTGTGTGTCTGTGTGTTTGCTGAGGAAGAGAGGGAGGGAGAGAAGATGCTGGGCGGACTTTAGGTCTGTCATTACATCAAGTTTGAGGCTGAGGTGATGAGGAAAAGGCAGCGGGAGCCAAGTTGTGGAGGAAATTTTGTGCTGTGTTAAGATACTGCTGGATACTGGGGAGCCAGGCCTTATTTTTTCTATACAAAGTACTCAGTTTCATGTACTTGTTGATATACATTTTTTTTTGTTTTTCCTTATTTTTTTTACCGTTTTATTAGGGGCTCATACAACTCTTATCACAATCCATACATACATCAATTGTGTAATGCACATTTGTACCTTCGATAAACATTTGTATTTGAGAAATGATAACAAGTGGGTAAGAGTGCACCTCTGAAGTGCGATGTACTGGCTGGTACAGAGTAGTTACTGAGGAAACATGGGAATGACTGTTACTGAATAAATCCTCCACCAATCATCAATCATCCTTATTTCATCTGAGCCTTTAAGTTTGTGGATACAGAAATGTTGAAAGTTAGCTAACTAGTCAACTCCCTGGACAGTGTGTGCATAAACAAGTCATTGCACGTGAGCGTTTTAATCACTTGCTAAGGAGCCCGGGGTTGGGCAGCAGGGGTGTGGCTGCTCAGTGAGAGGCAGGGGGGACATTCGGGGCTGTGACCTGGCATTCTGTACCTGGAGAGGGAGGTGATGACCTGGAAAACATAGAACTTCTGCCCTCCCACGGGGTCACTGTGAGGAAAAGTGGACTCGGGCGCCTACTGCAACATGACAACTAGGACTATGTTGGAACAGGATTTCTCTCTGTTTTCGTTAGCAATCTTTTAGAAATTGCTGAAAACCAACAGAAAAGAGTGCAGACCTTGGTACTTTGATAACAGAGTGCTCCGCAAGCACGCGCGGCATTGTTCTCATCCCAGAGCTGCACTGCTTTGTGCACAACACGGCACCATGGGTACAGCTTGGACTCCAGCGGTTTTCCGTGACAGTCGAACAATTTGTGAACCTGTTGTTCACCGACTGGCCGTCTTGGCTGCCCATTCGATGTCAGCAAGATTTTGGTAGGTCATTGTTGAAGGCAGCTCTCCTGGGTGGATTATTTAACAGTTGTACAAACTAAGGTATAAGATCAACCTTGTCTTGGGGACCATTTTGAAGAGTTTAACAGAGAAGGAGATGGACTGGCCACAGGGGAGCAGAGTCATCAATTTTTACAGTTCTCCTTTGGAGCTATGCAACCAAACAATAATTTGATGATATTGTGGAAGAATTTAAAGCAAGTGTGAATGTGTGGATACTCCGGGCACTGAAACATTTTTCCCCTTTCATAAGTGATCTCTTTTTGTGAAATATGACTTCTTACCATATCCATAGGAGAAAGTGGTGGCAAAAGGTTTGCTAAATAACAGTCCTTGCTCTGGCATCAGAAGCTATAAGCCAGCTAAATGGTTGGAATTTTTGGCCATGATTTGTAATAGGATCCATTGCCAATAGAGTAGAGTAAAGGTCACTTGCAGTTCAAGATGCTGGCCCTTGCTCTTGGCAAAGAAGAACACATTTTTGTTTTTGTAGTAGGAAGACAAGGATAGCTAGTTTACCTGAAAATTAGATCATTGACATCTGAGTTTAGACCATATCCCTGTTTTTTACTGCTAGATAGACAAGGAGGGGGCCCCAGAAATCCCAGATTTTTTTGTTGTTGCTATTTTAAAGAATGTACTTTATACAAAATAACCAGTTCATATGGAAATAAATCTACAGACCTCCAAGGATCAAAAAGCTTTTTAAAAGTTCTTAAAAAAATTATTCAAACGCACAATAATATTGAACTATTGAGGTAAATGTCGCTCTCAGTGAAAAACAGGGGATCAGCAGACCCAGAACTCCCAGAATTTTTTCCCCAAAAGCTGTGTATTTTAATTTTTCACAAAACAACCTTATCACCTTCACAGTACCCTCCATTACATTTGATACATTTGTCAAATCTGCAATTCCATTCTTGGAAACATTTCTCAAACTTATCTGTTTGGATGGCTGACAGCACCATCCTCGATTTTTCTTCCTCTTTTATGTTGCCAAATCTCTGTCCTTTCATGTGCCTCTGCATTTGCAGAAACAAAAATGTCACAGGGAGGAAGGTCAGGTGAGTAAGGTGCTTGGGACAAGCAAGGAAGCATGCTGGTTTTGGGGGGTTTTTTTGCCCCCAAACTGGCGCACTGAGATGGCTGCATGAGCCAGGTGCATTGTGGTGGTGTGGCAAAACCAGTCCCCCGTCTGCCACAAATCAGGCCTTTTTCATTGCACACTGTTACGCAGTCTTTTCAGAAAGAACCTCTACATAGAAAGCCTGACCTGGGAGAACGAACAAAAGAACAAATGCGCATCATCGAGCTTTGGTTTCCATTGAGCTTTTTTAGGGCGAGGTGATGATGGCGTCTTCCACTGGCTTGATTGATGTTTGCTTTCGGAATCGCACCAGGGGAAAATCCTGGGGGGTCGCTTCGGAACTGTTTTTCCAAGCAAGGCATGTTTCCACTTGATGCTCTGTTTCCTGGTCAGTCAGAACCCGAGGCAGAGACCCTTCTCATCCCCCAATCTTCGTTACAATTCACTGACCTGAGCTCCAAGAGAGTCCAGAGAACTTCCCCCTCTCTTCAGTCGTCCTTTGTCACAAGTGCACACATTTTGTCAACATTTTCATTCGTTCGGGAGGTTGATGGATGTCCAGAATGAGGTTAGTCATCATTCGATATTTCATCTTTTTTGAAATGAGAAAAGCCCTTCTACACTTGAGCTTTTCCCACAGCACTGTCCTTGTAGGCTGTGCTCTACATCAGAACAGTTTCTGCAGCAATTTTCCCGAGCAGGAAACAAAATTTCAAAGCTGTATTGCTGTTCTCTTAAATTGGCCATCACAAAAAAAAGAGGTTCCGGCAAAAACTGCTTTTATGAAAAAATTCACTGTGACCAGAGATAACCTTCCCAGGTAACACCACTGGGTGCACTAACTCAGGGCAAGTTGCTGGATGCTCACCTAGCAGGAAAAATGCATATTACAAAAGCTCTGCTCCGCCCAGCACAATTCTAGTTTTTTTGGGTACCTCTCGTATGTCTGATTTAAGATAGCATCTGTCCCAGCTCTTTTTTTCATAGTATATTTCAGTGTAGGTTCTGTGTGGCATTAATAAATGGGTCTGTTCTTGAGCCTAGGATCCTTGGTGGCAATACATGGTAAGCATTTGAACTCTTAACTAAAAAGTCAGTGGTTCAAGCCTACTAGCCACTCCTAGGGAGAAAGATAAAGCTATTTACTCCCGTAAAGATTTATAGTCTGGTGGGAATGTGCTAAAATTAATGTAATCAGTGGTTCGCAACCTGGGGTCCGACCCCTTGAGGGGGTTGAACGACCCTTTCACAGGGGTCGCCTGATTCATAACAGTAGCAAAATTACAGTGATGAAGTAGCAATGAAAATACTTCTATGGTTGGGGGGGTCACCACACGTGAGGAACTGTATTAAAGGGTCTCGGCATTAGGAAGGTTGAAAACCACTGAATGTAATGATTGTGCGGTGGTTGTACAATTCTTGATGTGATTGAACGATTGAATTGGATGATGGCTCTGAGTGGGATCAGGAAAGTCCCCCATGGCAGCGTGCTTGGTGCTGGGCTTTGGAACAAAGTCCTTTGGATGGTTGCGTCTAGAGGGAACCGAGGGAAGGGCAGTTGAATAGTGGCAAGTTCCTAAGCTAGCCTCTTCTTTTCACACACTGCCATCGAGTGATTCCAACTCAGTGACCTTATCGAGCAGGGTAAGCTGCCCTGGTGGGTTCCCAAGACTGTAACTCTATGGGAATAGAAAGCCTCATCTTTCTCCCAAGCAGTGGCAGGTGGTTTTGAACTGCTGACTTTGTGATTAGCAGCCCTACACGTAATCCTACTGTACCACCAGGGCTCCTACTCTCAAGCAATGGCCTGTACATAAAGCAAACATGAGCCGCTGTTGCTTCAGTCGCAGCCCCAGCAGCCTGATGTGTTGCAGAGGAGAGCTGGGCTCTAGAAAGTTTCAAGGCTGTGGCCCCTCAGGAGTAGACCAACCGGCCTTTCTTCCAAGGCACCTTGAGGTGGGTTGCAACCACCAGCATGTTGGTTGGTCGTGAATGGCTTAACCCCTTATGCCACCCAAAGTTTCCATGTATGTAATAGGGATGGGCAAAAGAGAATGGACTGAAGAAAAGAAGTATTTAGGAAACAAAAACAGTGCTTGAGACTGTAACTATGGAGTGTGGGATAAGGCAGGCTTGATAACTCGGAAGTTGGGATAACTGGTTGCTACAGAGAATGTAGAAGGGACCTAATTTAGCGGGTAGATAGTAATGTGCTCTTGCACCTGTGAGTTTGGTGGTGCCTCGGGAACGTTCAGATTTGGTTCTCTGACAGTTTGGGGCCAGTCCTGAAGCTCTAGGAAGAGCCGGGAAGAGCAGTGCGCCTAGAACAAGACCCGGAGAAGTCCAGCTGTTAGACAGCAGGAGGTCACGGGACAGAGAGCCCTTTTATTGAGACCAGTCTAGTCCAGTGTTGGAGAAATCAATGGAGTGCAAGGTGCCAAACGGAGCAGCAGTTCTAGGGATAACTGAAAGCACAAACTGCTACAAAGCGAGAACCAGGTGCACCTTTTCATGTTATGTTCTCTCTTCTACACCAGGGTTTGTTACCTCGAGGTGAGAAGCCCAACCCTTTAAGGCAAAAGAATGCCAAGGTGAACCAGCTTCTCAAGGCTTCCCTGCCGAAGCTGGCCAACGTCCAGCTCCTGGATACAGACGGAGGCTTTGTGCACTCGGACGGTGCCATCTCCTGCCACGACATGTTCGATTTTCTGCATCTCACAGGAGGGGGCTATGCAAAGATCTGCAAGCCTCTCCATGAACTGATCATGCAGCTGTTGGAGGAGACTCCCGAGGAGAAGCAAACCACCATTGCCTGACTGCCCGCACCAGTATTCAGAGCGGCACAGCATCCTCAGATCTGCTCGACTGCTGGCACCACAGAGCCCTTCTCCTTCTGACGACGGCACTTGGCATTGTAGAGTGTTCCAGGATGTTCTTTCTCGGGTGTGAAGGGGAGGAGGGATTTAAACTGATCCTGTACATAGAGGGTTTGAAAAAAATTAGCCAAGGAAGGTTGTTCAAATTCATTTTAAGCTGGACTTTTAGTTGTTGGTGTGACGCAGTCATGAATTACCACTTTTTCCTAGGACAGCATCAGCCTACATCTCAAACCGTAGGAAACGTCTTTTCCTGGCCTCTCTGTGGATTATGTTATGTATAATGATCAGAATCACACCCACTTGGCTTTAACACAGATGGATTCCCCACAC